AACTCGGATTCGTCAAGAAGATAACCCTCGAGGAAGGAGAATGGCGTCTGATGATGGAGGATCCACCAGCGATGATAGCGATCGCGAAGTTGTGATAATGGAAAGACGATTTGTGAATTCCGTAAACACTGAGAGTTCTTCGAGCAAAGATTCGTCTCTTTCCGTAACGCTTTTGGATCCAGATGTTCTCGATTGTCCCATTTGCTGCGAACCACTGAAGACTCCCATCTTTCAGGTTTGTTTTGATTTCATAATCCATTTTTAGGTCAAGAGTCTTCACTAGGAAGATGATAAAGGCAAGATAGATGTGTTAGAGGAACTATAACTTGTGTATATTGAGGAATTAGATGAAATTGGGGCTTTATCAATTCAATCTCTGGCTCAATTGGGAACTGTGTGTAGCAGCACTAAGTTAAGCCCTTTTGGTTGTGTTTGTAATAACTCTGTGGTTCTATTTTCAGTGTGATAATGGTCATCTAGCTTGTTCTGTGTGCTGTACCAAAGTGAGGAACAGATGCCCTTCTTGCACGTTACCCATCGGTTACATTCGCTGTAGAGCTATGGAGAAGGTTATAGAATCATCTAGAGTCTCATGTCCAAATGCAAAATACGGGTGTAAAGAAATTATGTTATGTGGAAACCGATTTAGCCATGAGAAGTTGTGTGTTTACACCCCGTGTTCTTGCCCCATTGGTAACTGCGACTACACTGGCTATTACCAGGATCTCAACAAGCACGTCCGTGTTAAACACAAAGACGACGTGATTACATTCTCGTCCGACAATTCTGTAAGCATTAGCTTGGACCCCGATGAGAAGACCACAGTGCTCCAGGAAGAAGACTGTGGCGAAGTTATCGTAGTTCAAGTTTTCAAGGGTTTGCACCTTGTGTATGTTAGTGTGAGCTGTATTCAACCTTCGTCAGTGAGAGTGGGAACGTTATCATGCCGTTTGGAAAACCGAACTATCGATAGCTCATTGAGGCAGGGATTCATCGTGAAGAACATTCAGAAAGTTGGCAATGAACAGCCCGAAGATGGTTTCATGGCGATTCCTTCCTACATATTGTCTGCTAGTTTACAAGTTTCGATTGGTCGTAGCAGGTTCTTTCTTCTTCCCTGATTTTCTCTCAAGAATTGCAGTTTGAGTCATAAAAACTTGTCATCCGCATTTTTAGGTTGTATATGAATTGCCCTTATATTGATGATCTAATGTCAAGTATTTGGTTTAGCATGTGAAACTTTAGGCATGAAGGTTTTCGAACAATTATGAATCGATTGTCTTAATAAGGATCATTGAATTTTTACCAAAAAAGAAGGAAGGATCATTGAATATAAGACAAAGATAGTACTGTATAATTTGTGAGAACAACGTTAAATAGAAATCATTATCGAATCCTAAAGTGGATTTAGTTAAGCGCGAATAGTTACCAAACCGGACTAACCGGGTTTAAGATACCAAGTTTGAACTTAACCAAATCACAAGTCAAAAAAGAAAAAGATAAATGAAGCACAAGTCTGGTTTTTAGATTGGCGTCGACAATATGATTTAGTTTTGGTTTAGTTTTTACGGTTTGAGATTTCGTTGGTTTTGTACGAACCGCAAGTCTGCAACCAAATAAGACTTTTTATTTATTATAT